CTGTATGACCGTAATTTCTAAGTTTCGACATGCAGAATATAAGATCTCCTTGTGCTCTTCACACTTTTGAAGATGTGCCCAGAACCGGAGCCAATGTGCTGCCCTGAAAAGCACCTGCATATAAGATTCATTTGGAGATTTATCAAACATTACATCATTTCTACTCAACCATAGAGCCTGACACAAAGCAGAAGCTCCAATAAAGATGAGGTTTTTAATATTTGAGTCAACACCACCTAGCCAATTTCCAACCACATTAGAAATACTATCCGGAGGTTTTAGACCAAAGGAAATATAAACTATTCTCCAGAGAAATTTTGTAATATGGCAGTCAAATAAAATATGTTGAATAGTCTCATTTTTCATAAAAAAAAACAACATGTTTTACTCCCATTCCAATTCCTTCTCGCTAAATTATCCTTAGTTAGAATCACACCTTTGAACAAAAATCACATAAAAATCTTACTCTTAATTTGCATCTTCAATTTCCATATAAATTTGTTCCTCTCAATATGACCATTATTAATCAAGGATGAATACATTGATCTAATAGAAAATTGCCATTCTGATGAAGATCCATTTGAAAGAACCAGTAGATCCATTCAATTAGTATGCAAAATCAATGCAACTAAATTATGCCAGTTAATTAAGTTCTGACCAACCAATGCTCTTCTGAAAGAAATATTAAGCGGAACAAAATTTATAACAGTTGCAATTGAAATATTTCTCTTACGAACAATATTATATGAAAATGGAAATTTATCTTGTAAAGATGAATTTCCAACCCAAATATCCTTCCAAAATCTTACTTGTTTAACATATTTACTACCCTAGTTCCGAGATGTAAGAATTTGTCCTTAACTTTCATAAGACCTGACCGAAAATATGAATCACCTTGTTTTGACCCAACTTGAGTAATTGAATACTTCTTCAAATATTTTTCTTCGCAATAGTTGTTGCCAAACACCCTGTTCATTAATTAGTTTGAACAACCATTTGCTTAGTAGATGCTGATTCTGAATCTCTATATTATGAATCCCAAGTCCTCCCAGTTGTTTTGGTTGACAAATGATATCCCATCTTGCCAATATGTATTTCTTTTTATGATTATCACCTTGCCAGAAAAAGCGTAATATTAAAAATTAATTTTTTTGAAGAACTCCTCTTGGTATCTTTTAAAAAAAAGACATCATAAACATTGCAAGAGAAGACAAGACGGAATTAACTAAAACCAATCTACCTCCTATCGACAAATGTTTTCCTTTCCAACTGCTCAAGTTATTTTCAATTCTCTCCTCTATTATTTTCCAATCCTTATAATTTAACTTTCTAAAATGCATAGGAATACCAAGATATCTGACATGATAAGTCCCAATGCGACACAAAAAAATTGAGGTAGGCTCTGTGCGGCAGCATGATCTAGACATTGTTTGACAGCCAACATGTGCTTAGTTGTAGTAAAAGACCTTGTTACATGCTGCTGCATATAGCGCTGTAACAAGCTACCCAAGATGCCCATTAACTTCTGACTATGTAGATAAATAGCTAAAAGTTACTATATTTTGGTACAGAGGTAGTAGTAGATTCTTTAGCTTATGGCTTTTAGTATATTTTCTTGATTCTGCAACTATTACAGCTTATTAAAATCTTGGTAAGTATTAATCTGGATAAGGCCTTCAGTTCTTGAGGCTGGCCAACTCAGAAGCAAGCACAAGTGGACCTACTCCCTCCGTCCTAAAATAAATCAATCTCGTATTAGAATAGGATATATCTTAGTACAACGAATCTGAGCATATAATAAGAGGTTGGTTTATTTTAAGACGGAGAGAGAAGGTTCATCAATCACAAAAAGAAAAAAAAATCAGATGTTATTGGAGGCAGCATTATCTAAAATACTCTTCCGTTATCTTAATTTTACTTGCTAAAATTAAAGGGAGGGAGGCAGGTACTCCCTCTCTCCCATAAAAAATTAAACGAACTTAAAATAGGTTTATGTCTAAATTTATTGTACTATGTCATATTCGATCTTAGTTTTTATCTTAGAATATATTTTTTTAGGAAGGGAGTAAGATCCATGTCTCTCAGAAAGAGGCCGGGAAATAAAGCACAGGAGCCAGCCGATAAGACGAAAGAACAGGGGATCAGTAGTAACAATAAATAAAAGAGACAGAGAAAGACAGGTTGGAAAAAAATCGATTGGTTGAGTAGATGTGAAGCAATTGCGAGTTGGTTGCTGCCATTTTTACTGCTAGCTACTACTCCAGCTGGTATAGTACTGATCTTACCTGTGTTGTTGCTACTGTGTGTGTACTGCAACTGCAGGTGCGGTCGATGACGATGGCACTATCCGAAACTCTTTTTTTTTTTAGTATAGAGGGCCCCTCCCATTTCCAGTTAAGAAATGAGCAACAATTTCCACGAGTTATTTAAAAGGATACGTACAAATACGTAGCTAAAAAATATTATATTTGACGATGAAAATAGTATTACAGAAAAAACTTAAACTCATCGTGTCAATGCCAATACTAGATACTGCATTCATCTTCTTTTTTAATGATGAATAACATCTGGATTTTTGTTTTAAAGAATATACACAACCACTTACCCTCTCCGTCTAAAAAAACCAATCATATTAAATGTGACACATTCTAGTACTATAAATTTGGATATACCTCTGTACAAGATGTGTCACATCCAGTCCTAGATTCACTTTTTTTAGAGGGGACGGAGAGAGTATTACATTTTTTTTAGATAATGGAAATGGGTTACATCTCCGGCCTCTGTCCGTAGGCACACAACCAAAAAGTCCAGAAGTGAATAGAAAAGAGGTTAAAAAAAAGCGAGATGGGACAAACCCCCAACTTCTGCCGATAATATCTACTAAAATCATGTTTTTTAAAATCACGTAGAGTCTATCACGAAATTCTGTAGGTACTACGCCATCCAAACTGGAGTAAAAGTTTCTTGGCTACCAATTCCAAGCGTGTAGCACCATTGCGCATAGTATCATGTTGTTCCTATGAAAGCATCATACACCAAGAGTGGAGCCAATTGGAACACATGAAGATAACCTGCATGATGTTAGGCATTTTTTTATGGTTAAAAACCATATCATTATGGCAACGCCAAATTGACCAACATAGAGCACTAGCTCCAAATAAAATCATTTTTTGTGGGTCTAGGCACTCCCCTTAGCCCGTTACCAAAAATATCTTTTACATTGTGGGGAGGGGGAATATTGAAGGTAAAGAAGACACATCGCCAAGCAAAACGTGCAACATGACAGTCAAAGAAAAGATGTTGGATGGTCTCTTGTGTATTAAAAAACAACATTGCTTGTTTCCCCTCCATTTTCTCTTTATGAGGTTATCTTTCGTCAAGATTACTTTTTCGTGAAGAAACTATATAAATACTTTGATTTTTAGTGGTACCTTTACCTCCTATAAGATCCTCTTATGGATTCTTACATTGGAATTGATGATCGTATTATACATGGATTTGACCGAAAAATGGATATTTTTATGTAGCGACCAAATAAAGCAATCTTTTTCATTTGACAGGGTTATGTTAGCTAGTCGAGAAATCAAATCATTCCACTCAACTAACTTTGGTCCTACAATTGATCGTCGGAATGAAACATTTAACGGTGTTGTGCTTATAACCTCTGCCAAAGTAGAATGTCTCTTTCGAACAAATAAACATGGTAAAATTCACTCATACATAAAAGAAGCAAATAAAATTCAGAAATAATATGTCATACATAAAAGAACAGAGGAAGCTAGCAGTATTAAACATAGCATGCACGCGTGTATGAGGATGCTTTTGTTTCGTGCAATGTATGATATGCTTTTGTTTCCAGTGAGAAAAAAAGGTCGAGAGCGATGCACGGGGATATTAGGAAAAGGAGAGCTGGTGGCTTGGCTCGATCTTGGGACTCCTCAAAAGTCGAAGCCCCCCAAATGCATGCGTGCGTTGGTGCGGTTTTTTTTTTTTACCTACTTTTTGCTACCAAAATGATTGATGATAGCTAGAGTTTGAGAAGCTCTGTACTTTCTACTCCATCCCACCGTTTTAGAATATATACTTTGTAATTATGAATCTAAAGCTAAAATGTTACTATATTGTATATTGTGTGATGGAGGCAGTATATATTCTTCTTAGTTCGAAACAGAGTTTAAATAGGATAGTACTCTAACGGATCAACAAAATGAATTATACTCCATTTATCCCCATAATATAAGACGCGGTCAAAATTGGTACGTTCTACAAAACTAATCTTTAACTTATAATTTCTAGCAACAAAATTATGACCATATGAAAATAAATTTACATCTCAATCTAATGATATAATTTTTAACAAATAAAATTTATTTAATATTATATTAAGTGTTGATCAAATGTTTTAAATGTTAAATCTTGAAATGTGTGCCTGGCTTATATTATGAGATGGAGGGAGTATCAATTAAGAACGAAGATGAATTAATGGGAAGACCTAGTATTAATTAAAGGTGTGTTTAGATCTCCTAGCAAAATTTTTCACCCTGTCGCATCGAATGTTTGGTCACATACATGGAGTATTAAATATAAACGAAAAAAACAAATTACACATATTATGTGTAAATTGCAAGATGAGTCTTTTAAGTCTAATTGCACCATGATTTAATAATATGGTGCTACAGTAAACATTTGCTAATGATAGATTAATTAGGCTTAATAAATTCATCTCGCGGTTTACAGACGGAAGTTTTGTTAATAGTCTATATTTAATACTTCAAATATATGTCCGTATATCCGATGTGACACGTCAAAATTTTACACCCATATATCTAAACGCCCCCTAAAAAGCATCGGCATGGCAGATGATGGAAGCTAGTACTGCTTAATTAATAACGCAGTGGTAATTAATTAACGCCACTGCGTACCACTGTATTTGACGACTGAAAGTTGATCTGTGGCTAGTTATCCGTTTAACTGTACACTTGGGACTGCTAGAAAACCAATGAAAGGATGGTACTGAAGATGCAATAATGCTTACCCCCATTTCAGCATCATATCATGGTATCAATTAATGTACCATGCATGAGCACACAGTTAAGGAGGTTTAAACTTTGAGCCCATCACAACACTAGCTAGTACAATCATGCTACTAGCTGGCTAAACATTAGTTCCATTGCCATGAAATTAACAGCTAGATCGATCTACTTCTAGTACTTTTAATGACTAGACATACATCTTCTAGACCTTCATGCAAAACCAAAGGGCCAGAGTACAACATGCATGCCCCACAAACACACTAAAAATCATCAAGAGCACACTAAAAGCTACTAGCACACTAGCTAACGACCAAATTAAGCTAGCTAGCAACTACAGCAAGAACAAAGAAAAAAAACAGAGAGATTATTAGCAATTAATTAACCCTTCAACTGCAAGAACTAAACTAAGCTAGCTAGTAGCTCTAATTAATCTTCATTTAGCTAGCTAAGTTATTTTTTTTTTCCATCGAGATCCTATCACCACCCGGTAACCTCGCGTGGACAACGTACACCAGGTGGTGCCAGGATCTCGAGATTCGTGCGCCGCAACTCCAGGGCCGTACACGTGGCGCTTCAGTAGTGGTAGTAGTGGTAGTGGTACGCCGCCGTCGGCTGCGGCGGCGGAGGAGGAGCGGGAGCCGGCGGCGCGGCGAGCTGGGCGCAGACCTCGGCGAAGGCGGTGAGGATGGCGGCGTGGTGGCGCGGCGCGTTGAGGGCGAGGAGGCGGCGGAGCATGCAGCGGAGGTCGTCCCACCCGCACAGCCCCATCTCCACCACCATCTGCACCATGCTCTCCCGGAAGTCGGCGCGCGGGTCCGACGACTCCTTCTCCACCGCCACCCCGACGTCCTCCTCCTCCTCCGCCGCCGCCATCTTCTCGTACCTCTTCTTCCTGCTCGGCCTCCTCCTCGCCGCCGCCGCCGCCGACGACGACGACGACGACGACGACGACTTCCCGTGGTTGTTCGTCGTCACCGTCACCGGCGCCGCCGCCGCCGCCGCCGCCTTCCCGTAGTACGGGTACTGGTTGGTGGCGGAGGAGGAGGAGTACGTGGTGGTGTAGGTGGCGGCGGAGGACGACGAGAACGACGCGGTGGACGCCGACGAGGGGAAGAAGGAGGAGGAGTGCGAGCTCGTGCTCCTCGGCACCGGCGGCTTCAGGGCCGACGGCCGGAGAAACGACGGGAGGCTCATCAGCAGCTGCCTCGGCCGGCGAGGCCGGCAGCCGCAGCCGGTGTCAACCACCGGCACGTGGCGCCACCGCCCGCCGCCCACCGGAAAATGCCTCCCGCCACCACCGCCGCCGCCCCGCCGCGCTCTGCTCGCCGCCGTTGACATGGCGCAGCGAGGCACACAGCTTAGCTTAGCTTAGCCCTAGCTTTGAGCTAGGATTCCGAGGTGGTACAAAAACTTTGGGACTTGTGAGCTATGGGTGGGTGGTGACATTGACAAGGAGGAGGAGGAAGAAGGCGAGCTCGTTGCAGCGGCTTATATATAATCGGATTTGGCTTTAATTACAGAGAGAGTAATTAATTAGCTTGTGGATTAGTGAACTAATTAATCTGTGGGGATTAAATAGTGGGTCGGGGGGGTTGGTGGGCCACATGGGCCTAGCTTGGTATGGGGATCATCATTTGTGTTTCCTCCCATGGCCAGCTCGGTTGCCAACATGTTTGACTTTGACTGTACTGATCTAATAATGAGTTTCTCTACATTTGATGAAGCATCTAGGACAAGGCAAACCTGCATCAAGTGGAGGTGATTTCAGATCAAACGACCTGAAAAATATTCAACGACTTCAGTCAAATTTTTTGGAGTTATATTCTAGATTTCAATAGATTGAAATTGCGCATGAATTTCACCTACATTTAAATCTGAAATATATACTCACAAATTTCCGTCACTTTTGGCTGCACAAACCACGTAAAAATATGTACACTACCATTTTCTCACCTTGTTTCCTCTCATATTTCCCTTATTTTCCATGTAACATGCAACCTACTCGCCTATGACGACGCCACGCACCTCCCACATCTGTATGCCACCTCTTTTTTGCGTTGCCGGTACCACCGACCCAGTTTACTGCACTCCTTCAACCCTATGGCATCAGTAGCAAGGCTGCACCATCCACCCATTCTTGCCATCCACTGCTAGTTTGCCACATTTCGGCCATCCCTCTAAAGCAGCCATCGCACAGCCCTCCTATCCCCTCCCATTGTCTACAACTCCAAAAATCTAATCCGACAAAGGCTGTCGAGTTGTGTTTGGGTGTCGCCAGCCTAAAACTCGTTGAGGGCGTGTGATATCGTTGCCATTGAGTCCTCACCATTTCCCTCCTTCTCCTCTCTTGCATCTCCCTATCTAGAGGTTAAATATGACTAGAATTTGTCACAGTTCTAGTCAATCGAAGCCTAGCGATTCTCAATTTTTATGGTACTATCATTCAGCTTAGCGTAAATTATGCTATGATGGTAACGATGTTATTTTCTATATCACGACTAATTTGTTAGGAGTTTGGTGTAGGAAGCTTCTAGCAATGAGAAGAGAAATCTATCGTGTTGCAGATAGGATAGAATGTGGCGCAACGGAAAAAAAATGAAAGGGTATGAGTGGAGGTTAATGTTGATAACAACAAGATCTAGAGTAGTTATAGGAGACGAGAATAGTGCAAGGGATCGATATCTAAGATTGGTGGATATGGTGGGAGGGGTTGATGCAGGTGAATGCAACAAAAATTATGAGTGCCATTTTTCTAAGCAAAGTGCAGTATTTAAGGAGGATCAATCTTGTATTATATCGTTTTGAAATTTCTCTAACAAATTGCACAAAACTAGCCACGGTGGTAAATTAGTAAGCCCCAAACAAAGCTGCCAAGAGTCTCAACACTGATCTACCGTGGATTTCCATTTTTCTACCAATTAGAGCTAGGGTTTTTTTTAGGTTATCAAAGTTAGGGTTTATTTTGGATTATGTTTGTCGCACATTATTGTTTTTTCAGACAGGCAGCATAATATATCCGTATGCGAAAGTCTCTTTCATGTGCCATTGTGCTGTTCACCTGAAAAAATACACCAATTTTCATACACGCCTGTGCATAGGTGGTTAAGCTACCAAAATTCGTCCAGGTCGTATGGGAAAATGGTATGCCCTCTATTACATAAAAAACGAATCTATAACTGGATATGAAATCTTATAGTACTACGGATCTAGATATGTCCATATTCGTAATACTAAAATATATCACATTCATTACTAGAATCTATCATCTTTTATTTTGGAGCGTTGGATTTTTACCTTTTTTTAGCAAAGGTATTCAATTTGGCGATAATAGCAATGTTTTACTAGTTAATTACTCCGCTGCCATTGGCTACGATAACTTTTATTCCATACCTTGCCCCTCTCTTGTTCAACCGTCCACATTACTCCACCTCTAAATACCTCGCAAACATTGTAAAACCTCTCATATTCCATATTCAATTGTTCATTGCGGTACTTTAACGGGCTTTTGTGCTAACACCTGTGCGTACACAGCTAGGGGTGGGCATTCGGTCTAACTGAAAATTTCGGTCTCGGTCTTCGGTTATTCGGTCTTTTCGGTCTTTGAAAAGTGAAGACCGAATTTCGGCGCAAGAATGTCAGGACCGATAAATTCGGTCTCGGTCTCGGTCCTAACCGAAATTCAACAATATTTTCATACATGCAAAGAAATAATGGAAATTTTCAACACAAAAATCACAAAAAAAAATTGTAAGCACTTATGAGCAAAGACTCTTATTGGGTTGCATGCCTAGAAGAAGTAGGGATGTGAAAATTAGAGTTTAATCCTATTAAATATAGTGGATTGTAGGTTGTATTTAGACATTTTTTTGATAATTCGGTCTTTTCGGTTACCCGAGGAGACTAACCGAATTGACCGAACAAAATTCGGTCTTTGACTACCTAGGACCGAATTTCTCGGTCTCGGTCTCGGTCTTTTTCTGCCCACCCTTGTACACAACTACTTGTATGTACTCCCATTATTAAAAAAACCCAATTTAGTACCGAATGTGACATATTCTTATATTACGAATCTAGATATACATATGTTGTCTAGATTCATCGTACTAGAATATATCTTATTCGGTCCTAATTAAATTTGTTTTTTATGGGACAGACAGAGTACATCGCAGCAGAATACCACTACTACTACGTACCCGGTTGGCCCGTGGCTAGTCAAGTCAACACGAGCTAGTATGCTCCAGTAGCGCCATGAATGAATGTTATCGGGATCCGAGGCTGGCAATCCTGGCATTGCGCAGCGGAATAATTAGCTTCCAATGGATATTATCGAGTAGAGTAGCTGTTGCTAGCTAGCAAAACGCCGCCGTATACAGTAGTAGTACATCAGCTTCTCCGGCGTGCAGTGCCGCCCGGCCGGCCGCCGGCGAGCCGCCCAAAATTGCATGGTGGCGATCGATCGACCACCTACGAGCTTAGTAGCCTTTTCTCCGCTCTTTCTCTGCACGCTCGCGAGCCTACTGATCGTCGTCGCCGCACGCAGGGCCCCTTTTGATGCCTAGATTGACAGTGTTAGAGCAAGTTTAATAGTATAGTCCACTATAATAGCTAATTCATACAACGGGATTGCCTACATATTTGTCGGGTGATTTTTAACAAGAAATCACCCAGATTTTTTTTACACTTAGATTTATATCCAACGGACTACAAAATAAAATAACTAATACAAATTTGCTTATTCAATATTTTTATCAAAATTATAGTGTACTTACATATCATATCAACTAAATTTACATGTGTAATTTTAGTTATATAGGACTGTAATTTTATATTTTAAATACTTACATGTCATATCAACTGAATTTACAAATGTAATTTTAATTATATAGGACTGTAATTTTATATTTTAAAGAAAATAACAAATACATATTTACTTACACTTTATTTTTATAAAAATTACAGTGCACTTACATGTCATATCAACTGAATTTACAAATGTAATTTTAGTTCTATAGGACTGTAATTTTATATTTTAAAAAATAATAACAAATACATATTTACTTACACTTTAGTTTTATCAAAATTACAGTGCACTTACATATCATATCAACTGAATTTACAAATGTAATTTTAGTTAGTGTAATTGCATACAAGTTGCAGTGTAATTACACTATGATTGTATTGTAATTACATCTGTGAAATTTCTAGAAAAAAAGTTATCGGCAAATATATAAAAAAATTTGAATAGAACAGGTTTCTAGCGATGGTAGATTTGTTAGGCATGGCCGCATGGTGGTGTAATCTAGTGTGGGATCCTAGCTTTGGCTTGGTTCAGATTTACGCACAAGATTCAAGTGCAGAGAAGGTCGTCCCGTCCGGCGATCGTCTCCACTCATCATGCCCAAAGGGACAACAAGCACAGTGCGAACAAGATCATCCCGACCGGCTGACCACGCATGCAGCCTCCACCATCGTGCGGTCAGCAAATCCGTGAAATCACTGGGAAAAAAATCACACGACAGATTTCTAGCGAAATCGTCACGTATGTAGGGGTATAATCGATAATTTGACAGCACAAGCAATAAGGAAGCCAAAATAAAATAGTATTTCCAATGTTGCAGGGTATGATTGATTAATTAATCTTTCCACATCTAATCTTGGTTCGTTGACAATAGTTGTTTACTATACTATTATACTTATTAATCACACCTATCATACACACGTTACGTCTTGGAGTTCGTGCTGCAGCTGGCTACATATCTATAGCCCGCTACTCTTCTCTCTTTTTTTTATCTATTTAAAATATGTTTATAGACTACTGAACATGCTCTTAAAAGCCCAAAAACTAAAGAGAATGCCTCTTATCGATGGTAAATAATCCAACTTCTTTTTAGTGGAGTACTAGCTATTCTTAAATGTGTACCACATGTAATCACTACAGCCTCCTTCAGAAAGCAGAAATTTTGCCGGAATTAAACTCTTACGGGATAAATTGTACTACTATGTACAAGCAAAGTACTGACGTTTTCTCCCATAACTAATCACAATTTAATATGTAAAAATAAGTTAAACCGATGATTACAAACAAATTTATGATTAGCACTCACCGGCAAGAATTTTCTAGTCGTATCTTGTGAGGTTTAGGGTGTGTTCGCAAGGGGGTGTTCCCAACACTTCCCTCTCGTTTTTCGCGCGCACACTTTTCAAACTGCTAAACAGTGTGTTATTTGTAAAAAGTTTCTATACGAAAGTTGTTTTAAAAAATCATATTGATCTATTTTTTAAAAAAATAGCTAATACTTAATTAATCACGTGCTAAGAGCACCCGCAATGGTAAAGTAAGGTGCTCTCTATAAAACATGTACATCTCAGCAATAGACTAGATTAATAGTAAACCACCTCAATAGTATGTCTACATGGGTATCTATAGCTCTCTAATGTATTGCCTCGTTTTTCTCTATAGACTATCTCCAAGTTAG